TGTGGAACTCATTGCCATAGGCCAGAGTTGTATTGTGAAGGCCAGAATTATAACTGGATTTAAAAAGGAATTTGATAAATTCCTGGAAGCTAGGTCCATCAATGGCTATTAGCCAATGGGTCAGAGATACAAATGAACGCTCTTGTCCTTAAACCTCTGACTGCCAGATGCTGGGTCTAGATGATAGGGGATGGATCATTCCATAATTGCTCTGTTCTGTTCATTCCCTCTAAAGCACCTGCACACTGTTGGAAGACAGAATACTGGCCTAGATGTACCATTGGTTTGACCCAGTATGGCCATTTTTACATTCTTATCAAGATTCTTTGTGAGGGGCAATTGCCCCTTTTACATAAAATTGCACCTTAATTTTCACCCTGCCCCCACTCTTTTTACTTCCCATATCCTTTTTTCTGCCTCTCCTCTTCATCATCTCCTACTCTTCACTGAGTTTTCCTTCCACTCTACTCAATGCCTGTCTTCCCCCCTTCTGTATGGTCTATGCTACTTTCCCAGGATTGACTGGGCACTTCAGGAAGGCCTGTTCCTTCTTCCTGCTCCTTAGCTTTAGAGTAGTACTGCAGTCAGGCCCAGCTAGGACAAATATTCCAACAGTGTTTGAGCCAAAGACAAGCAGGGGTACCTTTGACAAAGATCAATGTGCAAAAAAAGAATGAGTGTTTATTCGATTCTTACAGAAGCATTTTCATGTTATGACAATCACAGAAAAACAGAACAATTTTTTAAAATTCCAGTTTATATGGAATTTATATTTATACAAATATATTTTTATGGATAATTAAGCAGTGACTGTTTCAAGTGGCAATCACTAGAAAAGAAGAAAAGTAGAGAGACTGTGGAAATGGTGCCAGGAAAGACTGCCTCAAAATGTAACTGGTAGTATTTATAGATTCATAAATTTCAAGGCCAGAAGGGACCATTGTAATCATTTGGTCTGACCTTGTAGCATATATCTTTTAGAAAAAACATCTGATCTTGATTTAAAAATGGTCAGTGATAGAGAATTCACCACAATTCTTGGTAAATTGTTCCAATAGTTAATTACTCTTACTGATAAAATTTTACACCTTATTTCCATTCTGAATTCGTGTATCTAGCTTCATCTTCCAGCTGTAGTCCAGCTGAGTGGTGACAAAGGCATGAATAACTGAGGCCAGGTCACCGTCGAGTTGCTCTCTGTGCAAGTGAACCCCTAAAACTTTTCTTCAAGACTGATGGAGTTGAAGGTGCAGAATTACTCATGAATTCTTTAGGTTGTAAGATTCTCTACTCTTGACTGGGATAAATAATGCATCCCACCTCTACTGCAGTACAGTACATTTTGAGTATACATTAATGCTTATTAGATCTGACATGAAAATTTCAAACATTGCCTTACTGAAAGTTTTAAGTGTTTAACAAAACAAAACAAAAACAAACCAAGCTTTGCTCAGTATTGTAACCTTGCAATATCTGCTTGTCCTGCAGTTATCTGCTTGTCCTGCAGTTATTTGAAATGAAACCATCAAATTTTTCTGTCTTGGGTGATGAGGTTGCTTGACCCATTTTTGAACAGGCTTAGAATCCACTTCATTATAATGCAAAATGACAACATCTGAACCTTTCTATGAGATACAATTGTTCTTCCGTTATTGTTTTTTCTGAATAGTTTCTCAGGAGTTAGCTATAGGCAGGATAGATTCCCTTACTAAGTTATGGTACAGTGGATCCTTTAGAATATTCACGTGTGCCACAAAATTATTATTCATCCACACCACAATATTCAGTGCTATTGTAGGATAATAAAACCTAACAATGCACCAATGACTACATTAGCCTACTGGAATGGAATTATTAATATCACTCGCTGGATTTTTTTTCTTTTATTATACACATTTTTGCTTAATGTTAAAACCAGCCTCAACATTTATTTTGGTTCAGCAATGAACTCAGACTCTCAGATGAATGGGGCAGTTCACACCTTTCAGAGTTATTGTTCCAGGCTCTCTCCTCATCTCTGCAACTCAGTTACACTTAATTCACATATTTCAGGTTTTCTTCATCACCACAAGAGACTGCTTTAGTTTTAAAATAAAAGCTGAGATTCTGGGGAACATGATAATATCTTCAGAGAGGTGCTGGAATAGTATATAGCCCTCATATAAACCTTTAGGAAGGATGCCATTCTCTGCCATAAGAGGTCCTGTAAACTTTTATCCACATACTTAATTTTCACTGACTTTAATGGAACTACAAAAATGCGTGAAGTTAAACATTTGCAAGACTGAGGCCATGTAGGTATATTTCTCAAAAATAAACTCTTGAGCTGTGCTAAAATGGTTAAAACATTTATTAAAGATATTTTGTACCCTGACATTTTGCTTTTCATCAAAATCACTATTTTCATACTGCAATTGTGAACTGTATCGTATCTCTTATCACTGCAGAGATAATTTTTGCTTGAAAATAGGCCACTCTCTCTCAAAATGGTTCACGTTCAAAATTTAATTAATATTTTTTGTAAAAATAAGACTTTTCCTATTTGTAAGGGAATGGAAAATGCTTTCAAATTTCAAGGAATGTAAGTTTCAGTGTGACTACTTTATAGAAATGTGCAAAACAGCTGCCAGAATGAGGCTGAAGTGGCTAGGGTGGGAAGCACTAGCAGAGTAGTGTTGAAGAGTAGAGATTTAATGGATAATTTATAACAAAAAGCAAAACAATGTAACAACAGGGATAGCATTTTCCTGCAGTTTGCCAATGTTCAACAACTTTTGCTAGAACTTACCTAAGGAAAATGCTAAGAATTTGTCTGTATAGTTTAAACTTAAAGGTTTCAGAGAAGCAGCCGTGTTAGTCTGTATCCGCAAAAAGAACAGAAGTACTTGTGGCACCTTAGAGACGAACAAATTTATTAGAGCATAAGCTTTCGTGAACTACAGCTCACTTCATCAGATGCATAGAATGGAACATATACTAAGATATATATATATACTGTGACAAAGCTCTGTCCTTGCCTCCGTGGGTCCTGCGTTTCCTGGTGAATTTCACTAGCCTCAGAGGCTCACTGTGACCCTCCATGTAATCCTTCTCTCTCTAGAGACAAGGGTCACAGTCTACTGAGCCATTTTCATCATAAGCCAACGAGGGAGGTGAGGAGAAGCTATCCTTCCTTGCACAGTCTCTGTTGTCTCCCAGTCTCAGTGATTAATCAGGGGGCAAAGGGGAGGGAGCCCGGGCCCACCCTCTACTCCGGGCTCCAGCCCAGGGACCCTAATAGTATCAGCTATGGTAGCTGACCTTTTAGAAACATGACATGTACAATTCCCTGGGCTACTTCCCCCACAGCAGCCCTCACTTCCTCAAGCTCCACTTCACCCTTACCTCAGGGCCTCCTTCCTCGTGCCTGATATGGTGTGTACTACTCAGTCTCTCCAACAGCACAACTTCCTCCCACAGCTCCTGACATGCGCGCCCACCTGACTAACTGGGAGGCTTTTAACTAGTTTCAGCCAGCCCCTGATTGGCTTCAGGTGTCCCAATCAACCTAGCATTCTCCCTGCCTTCTGGAAAGTTCTTAATTGGCCCCTGGTGTCTTAATTGACCTGGAGCAACTGTCATTTCACTTATCCTGGCACCAGGGATTTGTTTAGCCTGGAGCTAATATATCTATCTCCCACTACTTTTCTATAGCCATCTGGCTTTGCCCCGTCAGAATACATACAGATAAGCTGGAAGTTACTATACAAACTGTCAGGTTTCAGAGTAGCAGCCGTGTTAGTCTATGTTCAAAAAGAAAAGGAGTACTTGTGGCACCTTAGAGACTAACAAATTTATTTGAGCATAAGCTTTCGTGAGCATCCGATGAAGTGAGCTGTAGCTCATGAAAGCTTATGCTCAAATAAATTTGTTAGTTTCTAAGGTGCCACAGGTACTCCTTTTCTTCATACAAACTGTGAGAGGCTAATTAGTTAAGATGAGCTATTATCAGCAGGAGAAAAAAAACTTTTGTAGTGATCATCAAGATGGCCCATTTAGACAGTTGACAAGAAGGTGTGAGGATACTTAACATGGGGAAATAGATTCAATATGTGTAATGACCCAGCCACTCCCAGTCTCTAGTCAAACCCAAGTTAATGGTATCTAGTTTGCATATTAATTCAAGTTCAGCAGTTTCTCTTTGGAGTCTGTTTTTGAAGCTTTTCTGTTGCAAAATTGCCACCCTTAAATCTTTTACTGAGTGGCCACAGAGGTTGAAATGTTCTCTTACTGGTTTTTGAATGTTATGATTCCTGATGTCAGATTTGTGTCCATTTATTCTTTTGCGTAGAGACTGTCCGGTTTGGCCAATGTACATGGCAGAGGGGCATTGCTGGCACATGATGGCGTATATCACATTGGTAGATGTGCAGGTGAACGAGCCCCTGATGGCGTGATTTCCACCATGATTTCAACAATTTCCATCCCACCATCAACCTCAGCCTAGGCCAATCCACAGAAGCAGTCCATTTCCTGGACACTACTGTGCTAATAAGCGATGGTCACATAAACACCACCCTATACCGGAAACCTTCAAAAGTTTTTTTTCTCCTGCTGATAATAGCTCATCTTAACTAATTAGCCTCTCACAGTTTGTATGGTAACTTCCAACTTACCTATCTATCTATATGTTCCATTCTACGCATCTGATGAAGTGAGCTGTAGCTCACGAAAGCTTAAGCTCTAATAAATTTGTTTGTCCTCTAAGGTGCCACAAGTACTCCTGTTCTTTTTAAACTTAAAGTAAACCATGGTATGAACTTCAGTGCCAAGAATTGCTTTTTACGGGGTTTTCTCTCTCCATAGTGCCTTGAGCTGTAGGTTCAGGTCTAAGAGCATGAAAGGGTAAGATCCTATTTGGTAAAAACCAACTCACTAGCTTTCCAAAATAGTAAAAACAGGCAGGAATATGTTTATCAGGGTAAAGAGAAAGAGAAAGAAAGAAAATAAAAGACAGTAACCTCTTCAATTCCATGGACAATGTTTCCATTTTGCACTGGTCCTGAACCATCATTTGGTGGTGTTACTTCAACTTCCACTTTTGCAGTATTTGGGAGTTCAATTTTTTCTGTAACATCATCCATAAATGGAAAAAAACAGAACAAAGAAACGGATAACAAATCTGTTAGTGACGCTGCACTTATATTTCAGTCTATTTGAATTATCAAGTGTTACTAGTGAACTGTTTACCTTTATATATACACACACACACACACAGTCACATATATAAAAAATAAAGACAAGAGAGAAATTCTGGCCTTGTTACACTGGTGCAAACCCATGGAAGCAGCAGATGTAATTTAGAGACAAATTTTGACCTTTGGGAGCTTTGCCTGAATAAGGATTGCAGGATCTATTAAAAAACTGATTGCGTTTTAGAAATGTTCTTTTTAATGTTTATGTTCTTAATTGCAACTTAAGGACTCCTTTACTCATGCAAAAATCTTACTAAACCCATGGGAAGTCTGACACTTTTGAGTCAAAACTGACACTAAACCATTTTATCAGCAAGTAACAAAATGTAAGATGCTGCACTGGCAGATAGACGGATGGATAAACTCATAAACAGATGCAGAAACTTAACTAATGAACTTTGTCCATCTGTCGTTAAGAAAGCTGGAGTTTTGTCACAGCTATCATGAAAGTCGCAGATTTTGTGACTGTCATGTGGTTTTTGAAATATATTTGTCTTCTGAATAATAGCTAATGATGGATGGTAAAATGTTACTAGACTACCAAGAGCTTCAAAGGTAAACCTTGGGCTGGTCAGCAACTGTGATGACACAAGGGCTAGATCAGTGGGCTTTTGGCAAAACCGTCATCTCCTCAATGGGTCATAATTTGGCTCAGAGGTTAAAATAAGAAATAACTTTTCAAAATATGGAGACCATGGCTCAATTTCTAAATATTGCTTCTGGAGTGGCAATTCCTATCTTAAGAACTGTTTCAGAGTAACAGCCGCGTTAGTCTGTATTCGCAAAAAGAAAAGGAGTACTTGTGGCACCTTAGAGACTAACCAATTTATTTGAGCATAAGCTTTTGTGAGCTACAGCTCACTTCATCGGATGCTGTAGCTCAAGAAAGCTCATGCTCAAATAAATTGGTTAGTCTCTAAGGTGCCACAAGTACTACTTTCCTTTTTATCTTAAGAACTATTCACTTTTATCATCGGATATTCATATCCTTTTTATTTGCACTAAAAATGGAAAAAATAAAGATACAAAACAATGCTTTCAATGCTGCTACAAAGTAAAGGCCTGATCCTGCAGTTGTTCATGGTGAGGTAAATGGGAGGGAGTAGGGACTGCAGGATCTGACCCTATTTTTGTGTAATGCAATTCCTTTTCCCATGATCATCCAAGGAATCTTCTAAACAACAGGCATGTCAAAATTTCAGCTGTTATTATTAGATGAAGATGGTAATGGCCAGAAATGCTTGAACAATCAGAAGTCATGAGGAAGTGCCTCTAACAACAGCTGACACAGTAAGATGTATTTTATCTGATGTTGCTGTACAAAGAAGTAAATATAGCTGTGTGGTTGCATTACTGCTGCACTCAGATTCTTCCTGAATTAAACTCTGAGATCACAGCAGCAGTGCAGAGTGCAGAATATCTGTGATTATTTAACTGCTTGCGGGGTATTTTCCTCAGCATTATGCTATATTAACAGAGTGTTCCATCCAGTTGCTTGACTCAGTGTCAAAGTGCATCTAGATATAGAGTGAGGTCATGGAAGTGTCAAACTGATTCCATTTTTACCAGATACATTTGATCGTTTTTTGTATTTTTTTCCCACTGCAATGAACATTAAGTGGTAAAGCAGTGGCTAAAAGAAACGAGAAGGTGACTTAAGTTGTTGTTGTTGTTTTAACAACGTACAAGTTTTGAGCTGAATATTCTTTGTGAAAAACAGAGTCAATGGGGTTTGTGTAGTGGGTATACACAGGGCTGGGAAGGATGGATTTTTTCCAATTCATAGTCCGGATATGAAGAAGCTGTGCAGCAACTCTGCGGCTGCCATTGCAGACTGCAGGTAACAGTAGCCCACTATACAGCTAGTCCACAAACCTTTTGGCTAGTGGATCAGCAGTGTGTGCAAACCTACCGACCACAAGCCTGCTCCTCCTGTGGCCGAGCCCCAATACTTTCCCCATAAGAAAGTTACCTTGCAGCAGTTCTCTGCAGCAGGCTACTATGAACCCTCATTGCAATCTCCCCCTTGCACAACAGAACCACTACTATCAAGGTTTGCGTGCCAATGCAAGATAGGCAGGATTTGCCTCTGACGGATCAAATCGCTCTCAGCAACAATCATAATACCTCTCTGAGGGCAACATTTTGCTCTTAGATCCACACGGTAGATCTCAAATCCAATATTCTATTCTCTTCTCCTGGGAAGTGTAGAGCTACATGTCACATAAAATGCACATTTATTTCAGGTGTATAAAAAATGTAAGTAAGTGTCTAAACTGCACACCTGGTGGATCTCAGTGAGTATTCTCCACATACAGAGAGAACCCAGTATCAGACTCAAATGGCCTGGTAATGCTATAAATAAATAAAGCATCATTGTCAAAATTTGGCCCTCACTTACACCTGCCAAACATCAGTGAAGTCAATGGGGTTCCAGGGACATAACTGAGGACTGAATTTGTCTCCATGTTTCTATCAATCTTATTTTAGCACATTTCCAAAATTAGTGCTACATTCTTCTCTCCAACCTTGAACAACAGCTCTCTGGATGTTTTATTCTGCTTCCTCCTCATGCACAGAACTCCCATTCATGTCTATGGGGATTTCATGCACAATTCTTTAGGGAGTTAGAATAGAATACATGGATGAGAGAGGAAAATTTAGCCCTGTTTGGCTCAAATGACTGACTCTAATGGCCTATCAGAAATGACTGGGCCAAAAATCCAGAGTAAATCTTGTAATGTTGTTGGAGTTATTCTGCATTTACACTTGAATAGCTTGAATCTGACCCACTGTATGAAATAGTTCATTGGGCAAACTATGAGCCAAATTTTTCACTCAATTATACCAGTCCAACCCATTTGGAATTGCAGGTGCTACGCATCTCTGAAAATCAGGTTCCCATTTGGGAGTCCAGATATGGATTTAGAGAGCTAACTTCAGGCACTCAAGTCTGAAAAAATGTCGGTTTATTTATTTTCTTGGGTAAGTAAAGTAACACATAGCAAATATATCCCAAACAATAAGAAATAATTCTGTACTCCTATACTTACCAGCATGATTAGCAGCCCCGTTCCGTCTTTCACTGTCTTCCACCTGGCACTTCTTTTTGGCAATCTTATGGAGAATTGAGGCCTTCTCTTTGAACTTTCCTAAAAGAAAACATTGTCATTGTTCAAGTGCAGCCATTCTGAGATGCTACATTTCTCTGTAATAGCTTCCAGCTTTTGCTCTATAAATCAAAACCAAGAATTAATTTCTATCTATCCCAAATAGATAGTTAACTCATTGTTAAGAGTTAAGAATTTTAAAAGGTGTTTGTTCATTCCCTAAAACTCAAAGAGAATAAAAAAAATATTATTTTTCTGGTGATGCAGTCAACCAAGTTTGCATAACAAAAGTGCTAGTATAAAAAATTAAAGATGAATAGCAAATAAATTAAAATGCTGAAAATAAAAAACACAATTTCTGGTTTGCTATAGGAACATAGGAATTGCCATAGTAGATGAGATCTCTGGTCCCTCTAGTCCAGTATTTTGTCCCTAGTAGTGACCAATATCAGATACTTCTGAAAAACTCGTAAGAATCCCCATAATGAACAATTTCTAAATAACCACAGGCTAATTTTATTTCCAACCCCTGCCAGTTAGTGCTACATTCTTCTCTCCAATCTATACAGTAGCTCTCTGCATGTCTTGTAATGGTTGGTTTATGCCCTGTGGTATCATAGTTTATGATCCTTGTATGTTTTTATCCTAATATATGTCTTTATGATTTCTCTCTTCACTCCCTTTCCTCCTTCATTGTAAATACTACTTATTAGGTAGAATGCAGGCTTAATTCAAAACAACCATATGACATGAAAATCCTAGCCTACAATTCTTGCTCTCCCTAAACTCCCACTGAAATCATTTGAAGTTTTGGGGGCGCAAAGACTTGCATGGTTTAGGACAAAAAGGTATTTCATTAAAATCAAGCAATGCGACCCAAAGGACACATTCTGCCGATTAACTACAGAAAGTAAAGAGAAGCCATGCATAAACAGACTTTGATTTACATTACAATGTCACCACTTCCAAATGTAAGTCATAATTATAATAAAATCATATTCTATTGCTGTTTACATAAAATGGACAAATGAATCAGAGCTCGAAAATAAAATAAATACCGCCTCTGCTTTCCCCGTCCAAAAAAGAAAAAAAGAATTGGGAATGTTTAGAAAGCTGGATACCATAACAGAATAATTAATGTGCCAAGAGGCCAGCGATAATCATTTATGTGGGAATGGAATAAATGGTCAACCACAATCCACCTGGTGGGAAAAAATAATAAAAGAACCTTATAAAAATTCATGCGCTTTGCCCTTTCAGTTGCACGTATTATTCCAGAAACATCGCACTGCAAAGTAACGTGTTCAGCCAGAAGAACAGTAGGGAATATCATAGGCAGTTTCTTTTTCAGTTGCTAAAAAAAATGTATATGGGGATTTTGAAATTCTTAGTTATATTGTGCACAAGGTGAAACAGAATCATCTGCAGAACAGAGCAGCAGTGAAAAGTAAGAGGCCAGCTCACCTCTTTATTGTGCAGGGTCAATGCCAGAGAATATCATTCAAAGCGATAGAGGAAGAAGAGACAGAAAGTTGAATAAAGAAAAAAGGACAGAGAAAGGGAAGAGCCTGCAGTGTGAGATGAATTGAAGAGGGAAAGGAAAAGAAAAAAGGAGAGAACAGTCACACCAATTATGTTATAATGTAATGCTGAAAAGGTCAAGTATTTCTATTTATAACACAGGAGTTATCTTAAGTGTGTGTACAATTTTGTGCATGCCTGACTTGAGTGAAAATCATGGTGTGCACAGAAGTTGTGGAGGATTGTGTGCTTGCACTCACACAGACATGGCAGTTTGCACATATGGATTGTGGGTCGCAGTGTCCAAGATGGGTGCATAAGCATTTTTCAAGATCTGGCCCATAATGTCCCAGGTGTATTATTATATTCTTGGGAGCACGGGTAAATGAAAGGAAGAGTCTTTTTAAAAAGTCTCAGCTTGTATTTTGTGTGGAACATTTATTCTTCACTGGCATTTTAACTTGTGTTCTAAGACCCAGCATCCCTGCTGATGTTCATGCTATTTTATGATAGTTCCTTCAGCAAGAATCATAGAAATTGGTGATGGAAAAAGCCTATTAGACTATCATCTAGTCCAGCGGTATCCAATGGAAATTCGATGCTAGCCACACTGCTAGCCACACTTGTGGTTTTGAATTTTTCTTATTAGCCACATTATAAAAAAGCCACATGCATTAGCCACAAATCAATAGCCTATTAGCCTCATGTGGCTAGTGGCGAACGTATTGGACACTGCTGATCTAGTCCATAGGCTTAGCTATGTGAGAAGGCTGAATTGGTTTAATTTAAAGTGTGATTTTAAACCAGTTTAGTTAAACCAGGGCAAACATCTGCATAGAGGCTCTTATTTCAGTGCAAGAATGGCCTTGTGTGGTTTAGTTTCTGTCAGTTAGGAATAGATTTAAACCAAACCGAACTAAGCCACTCTTAAACTGAACTAAAGCTGTCCACACTTTTTGAACTCGTTTGATATCAGTTTAAACAACAACTTAAATTAAACCAGTGCAACTTTCTGCTGTAGACCAGGCCAATCTTTCTCCCAATGCTGGGTTTTTCTCTCCAATACATTTTGTAACCTATTTTTAAATGCCCAAAGAGATGAAGTATCCGTCACTTCCTTTGCAAAATTATTCTACACCCAGAGATCACTTCAAGGAAGTGCTTCTTAACATTAAGAGAAAATGTTATCTTTCTTACTTTTTGCCCAGAAATCCTAGTTATGACCATTATATCACTCTACCTCCTCCTTCTCCACCCTTGGGGCCACAGTGTGACTGGCCTCGCATTGGTGCCCAAGGAGTGGGGAAGAGTTAGGCCTTTGTGGAGGGGCCAGCCAGCAAATACATAGCAGAGACACTATCCCAGATGAACACCTGTGCACTGAGGACGGGTGGGAGGAAGATGGGGCAATGCCTCCCTCAACACCAGTCTGGGAAGTTTGCTGGGCACAGGAGGAGTGCATGATGCACCCTTTCACAGGGAGACAGAGCCCCAACAAGGAATCCTGACTGAGCCAGAGTGTTTCTAATCATTTGCCCTTGGCAAAATGCTTAAAACTTAAAACTTTTCATTTCACATCTGGATTTTGTCACAGTTAACCATGCCTTTGTCACTTTAAGTCTGGATTAGTGCAGTACACTCTAAATGGGGCTTGTATTACACCTATGCTCCATAATTTGCATTGACCACCAAATTATTTCTGGGGGAGTTTAAGGTATGGGTTTTGCTCTATAAAGAGCTAGGTGCTGTGGGACTAATTATCTGAGACACTGCTCCTTCCCTCGTAAAATTCTATGACAGCTGAGATCAGCCAAAATGCTTGAGTTCATAGACCCTTGGGAAGTGCAGGTGCCTTAGAAATTATTTCCCACCCTTTGGGTTAATATAATCCAGATCTAATGACCTACAAGAAAAGCTGCAGGGTTCATCTGCTCTCTTAGGCTTTTTTCATGGGGTGAGGGATGTTGAATAGGATGGGAAGGGAGATAAAAGGAAGGAGGAAGAGGGGAAAGAAGTTCTAAGCAGTGCTCTACATTGATTATAATGTAGTTAGGGCTTGCCTACATATGAAAATTAATCCAGAGTAAGATACTGTGTGAATTTAAAATGGATTAATTGTTCCCGATTAACACCACATATAGATGTCTTATTTCAGAATTAAAGCACCTTATTCTGAATTATGCTAATCAGTGGAATTCCAGAATAAGAGCAACCACATATGGTGTTAATCAGGAATATCTTTTCCAGAATAACTTCCCATGTAGACAAACTCTTAGATTACTTAGGTCTTGTAGTTTGTATAGCACTTAGCACAATGGGCTTGGAGTCTCCAGGTGCTACTGTAATACAAATAAATAATACCTAACCACTGAGGGGTAACTCATGCTTTATTTCACTTTGGGTGCTATACAATTCTATTCAGATCCCGTCTTAGGGACATACATGATTTTCCCATGGCACCTTCTTGCCAGATGTGCCCCTTTAGCAGCAGAGTGCTGTGGTTCTGAGTCGTTATGATGATGTACGCTTTTCTTTTTTAAACAGAAAATTAAAGAAGGGCTGAAACGTGCAGGAGTGTGCATGTGCATGTGTGTGGGAGAGACAGAAGATGAGTGACTAAAAATACAATTCCCCTACTAGGTGATCCCTGCATTCTTTCTAAAAATACGTAAAACTCAGTGACCGCTTGGTGCCTTAGTACTGTAATTAGAATTCATTCTGAAGAACAAAAAGGGACAGGACAGACATTTTTTCCGCATTCCTTTTTAGTGTAGACCAATGACTCTCAACTTTTAACAGGTGAAGAGTACTAGTTCATTAAACAAAGGGCCCAATTCTTCATTCCTTGTGAGCAAAAAACTCCCAGTGACTTCAGAAAGTCCCCAAAATAATTACACATCATACATCGCCCAGTCCTGCAAGGAGTCAATGGAGACTGTGCATGCTCCCCATCTCTTAGGAGGTGCCCAGGTTCAGGCCCACAATATACAAATGTATACGTAATGAGTATATCAGAAAGAAATTCTATCTCCTCTTAGTTTGTTATCACAGAGTAAATGTAGATTTGACCCTTCCATCTGTGTGTTTTCTGAGTGGTTGTGTTTCAGTTTCTGTATCTTTAAAAAACAAAGTAATTGCCATCCTCGTTAGGACCTATTCATACATGAAAAAAGACCCGCATTCTAGGCTAGGCAGAAAAGCCACCTGCTTGAGCGCCACTGCTCTGGACATTTTGAGTAAACTCGCTGTTGGAGGGCAAGAGAACTGATTCAGTGAGGTGCTGAAGTCAATCAAAAGGATGGCTGCGCTAGCAAAGCATGTGAAGCAATTCATTTAGATCAAAGGTCCATACAGAACTACAGCTCCATTCAAGACTTACTTGGTAAAATTATTGTAAAACGAGAAAAAGCAGAACAGGCATTCTGTTGCTAATTTCCATCTGTGATCAGGAGAAGCCCAGGACTGAGTACAGTGTAACTGCGTTAAGAGAGCCATTAGTGAGACAGGTCAGACTGAGTTTG